CTGGGGTTTCTCAGATAAAGGGGGATTCTGTGCCTTCCAATTATACAGGTCACTAGTTGAGAAGGATACACAGACTATTAAGGGGGGTCAGGCTCTGCCTTCTTCATCTGTAGGAGCAGGCCTAAGTGGGGACACTTCTATAAGGGGAGGAAGAGTTGGAGGGGGAGGATTATTCTTGCCCACTCTGGGTATGGGAGGGAGAAGATAAGTCTTTATAGAGCCTTGGGGTTGGAGGGGCTGGGTCAGGGGGACCTCCCTCGGACAGGGTAGGATCTTGAACTGGCTGAGATAGGGTTATAAGGCAGGGGGAAGTCATCCTCTTCCTTGGGGGTAAAAATGTGGGCCCAGACTGTGGTTTTAGGGTGGACTCTCTATTTCTAGTTACCAGAATGGAGGATTCTATTCTAGTGGCCTAGCATTGTATACAGAGAGGGGGATGGAGGAGGAGGGAAAGCCATCAGTCAATGTACGGGCACTGATCCACATGGCCAGGGTTCCCAGTGACTACCCACCAGACTCGTCAGGTTGTTGCAGCATCAAAAGACCCTGCATCAGTTCAACCCATGTCAAAAGTGGGCCATTTCAATTCCAATTAGCAATAAATGTGAAGTTTTCTTGGTGACAGTGTGACTCTGTAGTCTATGGAAATTCTTCAACATGCAGTCCAACATATTCAATCTTACTCGAACTGGTTTGCATTTCTGCAACAAAACTTAAAGGCACACCAAAAGACACAAATTCACCAGACAAATGTGAGAAGCATAAAGGGACAGAAAATCCCACCAAACTAAGCCAACCAAATATGGACAAAAGACTGAATACACAGGTGTGAGATAGGGGTTATAAGGCAGGGGGAAGTCATCCTCCTCCTTGGGGGTTAAAAATGTGGGCCCACTTCACTCACACTCATTAAACAGATTGGCTAGGACAACAACACCTCCTATTCCTGGAGACCGAACTACAATTATGTCCAATCTGTTTGAAGTCTCCCCAAATGTCCAGTACCCAGAAAATCTCATGGATGGTTCTGAATTCATCACCAGCTGCCCAGGATTTTACTTTCAATTTGGACAGTTTGGCTCAAGAATTTGCAGCTGCTATGAACTAGGCTCCCTGGGCTCCAGCAGGCCACTGAACCCACCAGGGGGGATTGCCCCAAAATTGGGCCTGTCCTGGGTCAGCTTCCTGGGTCTGGGGTCTCCCTGGATCTCAGTGGGTCCTCTAAAAATATTATGGCATTTGGGACCACTAGGAAAAGACCATCAGACACCAGGTCGTATTTCATTCAAAGTTTTATTCAAGCTAGCTACAGCCCTCAATTCAGGAGTACTGACTGTAGCCCTGGTGGAGTGGGGAGGCTACTTTTAGAGAAACAACAACAACAACAACAAAAACAAAAAAAGACAAGGGGACTTTCTGGGTGGAGGTATCCATCGATTACACGTGGCAGGCAGTGGTAATCATATCATGACAGACAATTGCAGGGTCCATGGTAGAGGGGCTTTTTTTTTGAGACAGGGCCTCCCTGTATCCCCAGCTGTCCTGAAACTCGTAAACAGGACTTTTCCAACTTTTTGGACAAACAAGCAAGAGGCACAAACAAAACAATTACAGCGACTGAGTGGTGACATCACTCTGTGGAACCTAGAGCTGCAAGAAGATCCCATTTCCTTCAGGGCACAGCGAGAAGCAAGATTACAGAAGCCAGAATGAGCAGTTAGAGACATCAGATCAGGGTTTGTAAAACCTACTTTTGTTCTCCTGTAGCCTTACAAGGAAGGCCAAATGATTTATAAGGACTGGGTTACTTACAAGACCTGGGGGTAGAGGAGAATTCAGCGCAGAGTTACTTCCTTAAGATGGAGTTTTCAAAATGGAGCCTCTCTGGCCAGCACAGCATGATATTACAAATAGTCCAAACAAAGAGGACTGAAAATAATGAAAGGAACATTCCAGAAAAGATGTAAAATCACCCTATGCTTTTGACTCAGAGGCTAGCCACAAAAGATACCTTTGAAGATCTATTCGATTTCAATTTTTTTAAGTTTCCAATATCACCTTAAGGAAGATGGGTGGTATATGCCTATGATCTCAGCATTTTGAAGGCAAAGGAAATCAAATCCTGGATTCTAGAGATGAAAAAAACTTAAGGTCACTTAGCACATTAAGTGACAGAAGAACTCAGAAAAAAAAAGTGAGAAAGTCACCCAAGAGGATTCATTAATTTACCATCTCCTAGACAAAGATTCTAAGAGAATCCATTTCATGTGGGAGATAAGTCCCTCTGAAAGTGTGCATAGGAGGAAGAAGAGAGGAAGCAATAGGATCAAAACACAAAGCAGTGTGTTACCAGATAACACCATGGTTTACTTCAGACTCCAGGGAAATTTAGGTATGGCACAACAAGACCCCTTGGACATCTACTGAAATTTCTACTGATTTCATGCAGTGCTTAAAAATAGCAACAGAAGTAAAGAATCCTGATATTTAAGACACAAGAACATCTGAAGACAGAGAAGCTTATGGAGCTCTATCCATGCAACAGCAAGCAGAAGCTGTTTCTACTACTTCTCAGATGTGAGAACAGGAAAACTATCTTCATGCTACATAGGAAATTATACAAAGTCTATTAGCTCCCTGCTGGATCCACTGCCATCATCAGAGAGCACTGACAAGAAGGACTAGAACTGCCCTGACACCTGACAGTGGATGAACTCAGAAGGTAGTCCACCAGCTTAGCAAAACAAAGGAATTAAGTGACACTGAAGGAAAGCACATTCAGCCCTCCTTCTTATACTGAAATATCTTCAGTCTCCCAGTAGCCCATAGGAAGCTGAGTTGGTAAGAATTTGTCTCTCCTTTAATAAAATATGTAGTCTCTAAGCATGCCATGTCAATAAACAGTGTTCAAATGAAGCTTAAAGACTTCAAACTACAGTGTCAAGTTCCCTAGTGCTTTGAACTTCATATTCCTTTTAATATTTCTTTTATTTTGAACGTTAAAAGAGGATAAGGACCAGTCAGAGTTTTGAGGTAAATAGAAGATGTTCTAGGGGACAGTGAGAACACATTACGTACACATGTGAAATTGTTAAAACAACAAACTTTACTTAAAAAATTGTCTAATATTAAAAAACTGAAAGGGAGTCTGGAGAGATGGTTCAGTGGCTAAGAGCACTATCTGCTCTTGCAGAGGACCTACATTCAATTCCCAGCACCCACACAGTAGTTAACAACCATAGGGTCTGACACCCTACTCTGTCCTCTGCAGGCATTGCATGAAACAGATGCACTTATAGACATGCAGGAAACACATTCACACACATAAAATAAAGATTATAAATACAGTATTTCTTTAAAATTGAAAGAAAATAAATTGGGCTTGATAAATGTTCAGTGCTATAAGTTCTACCTTCCTGGTAGTAATTTCTCAGTACATGTCTTTAGATACTGGATGTTGCTGGCTTTTGATAAGCTCTATCAAGTAGATACAGAAGCCACCTGTAATAAGGAGGTAATTGTTCTTTATACTTAGAGATTTTAAATGTTTAGGTACTAATGTCCCCCAAAGAAGTGAAGGAAAACCAATGAAATGTTAAAATATTTATGCTATGACAAGGCTATCTGATTTTTACATATAGCCATGTCATAGCATAAATAGCCACTTTCATATCTGTGATCCATGATATGACTTGACTTCATTTGAACTGATACTTTATGCACAGCTATCCTCCTGTCAGCCTTAGACCCCTGACTCTCTTTCCCCATGGGTTTGGGAACCATGCACCAACAGCAGCTTTCCAGAAAGCAAGCTCCTGATCCTTATCCCTGTGCCCTTTCTATGTACTGCAAATGCTCTGGACTTACAGAAGGGAAAGTGGACATTAGGGTCAAAGACAGTAGTAAGGTAGGATTTGGGCGCCTGATTACAATACAAAATTGCTATTTTTTGTTATTTTTTGTCATTTCTCTCAAACAAAAGCAGACTCCCTTTGGGGAGAAGGTACTCATGTTTTCTCACATGCTTTGTGTAATAATCTGGTAGAATAAATAACTGTTCAGATGGATGGTAGTTTCAGCTAAAATCAGCACCATCTCAATGCAATGTTTCCTGGTTTCAGAAGTCAGTAATCCTCTCAGACTTATGGGGAATGTGGGGCTGGAAATCAGAGGTAATCAAGTAGACAAACTTGTCCTCTTCCAAGGATATTTGTTAAAATAAACATGGTTTATGAAATGTAGACAGGTTGATGCTTTCTGAAAATCTGAGAACTTAGAGGTGGAGGGGAAAAGTTCTTCAATTAAGGTGAGCCTGGGTTTCATATAGAGACCCACACTCAAAATATGTTATTACAGAGGAAGTGTGATTGAGAGAAGGAGTTACCTACTGATCTTGCAGAGGACCTGAGTTTGGTTAAAGCACAGATCTAGAGGAATCTGATGCCTCTGGCCCCTATGGGCTTTTTCACACACGTATACATACATATACACAGGCATGCACAGTTTGTTTTTTTTAAAAATCTTTCAAAAAGGAATTTTAAAAAAATCAATGGAGTTACATTATTTTAATCATAACATTGTATCAGCTTAGAATTTCAACAATTAAAAACATTTCTACACAGAAAACCAACTTGGATATTTAAGCCATTTGTCAAATGTTACAATATAACATTGCATGTCAGACTCTTTACTCTTGAGAGATCATTTAATCTTTCTGGAAAGAGACTTCAGGATTAATGTATTCAGTAGTATTTTTGTTAGATAACTTCCTAATGCTTAGTTATCACTATGTTACCTACTTCTATACATGGATATTTTACCAAGATTCGATTAAATATGAGAAACTTGCAAACCAGCAAGCAAAGATATTTACTAGTAGAAAACAGATCTAATTGGAGTCATGTTGGGTATCCTATGGTGCATCTGATGTTATGCGTTCATGCTAGCAAAACTTCACTGAGCCCTCTGTTTCTAGACATATAAATTAGAGACAGCACAGAATGGAGCTCTGGAACTCCACGTTGGGAAATGCCTTCATCTTGGTGGGGATTCTGGATGGCAGTGACTTTCCTGAACTTCTCTGTGCCATAATCACAACCCTGTACTTTTTGGCCCTGACCAGCAATGGACTGCTGCTCCTGGTCATCACATTGGATGCCCGGCTCCACGTGCCCATGTACCTCCTACTCAGGCAGCTCTCTCTCATGGACCTCCTCCTCACATCAGTTATCACTCCCAAGGCTGTCATGGATTTTCTGCTCAGAGACAACACCATCTCTTTCGGTGGCTGTGGTCTTCAAATGTTTATGGAACTGTCGGTGGGTAGTGCAGAGGACCTCCTTCTTGCCTTCATGGCCTATGACAGGTATGTGGCCATTTGTCATCCACTGAACTATATGATCTTCATGAGTCATAGGGTCTGCTGGTTCATGGTGGCCATTTCATGGATCCTGGCATCACTAAGTGCTCTAGCGTATACCATCTACACAATGCAATATCCCTTCTGCAAATCCCGGGAAATTAGACACCTGTTCTGTGAGATCCCTCCTTTGCTGAAGCTGGCCTGTGCTGACACATCCAAATACGAGCACATGGTATATTTAATGGGCGTGATTTTGCTAATTCCCCCTCTTGTTGCCATTCTGGCCTCCTATTCACTAATTCTATTCACTGTGCTCCACATGCCTTCAAATGAGGGCAGGAAGAAAGCCCTTGTCACCTGCTCTTCCCACCTGACTGTGGTTGGGATGTGGTATGGGGCTGCGACAATCGTGTATGTCCTGCCCAGCTCCTACCACAGTCCCAAACAAGACAATATCAGCTCTGCTTTCTACACAATTGTCACTCCAGCTCTCAACCCCCTTATCTACAGTCTGCGGAACAAGGAGGTCACTGGGGCTTTGAGGAGAGTCCTGAGAAAACGATTGTTGTCAACACATCCCACCTTCTAGGACATTCTATTAGTTGCCTTCTAAACTCATTATCTCCTCAAAGTCGGAAGCTTTCTGATATGAATGAAATACTGTTGGAAAAAAACAAGATGGTAAAAAGTATCCTGTGCTATATTAGTATAGGAATATAAGTATCTTTATTAAATCCTCTTTGGATATTTTCTTCATGAAGTATCTTATAGAAAGAAAATCACTATTTAAAGTTATTCTGCTTTATCTTTAAAAGTAAGACTCCATTTTCCAATGTAACTGCTTAGATAAATGAGTCTAAATGGTATTACCACCTGAACGTGACCCCTGAGATTTTAAGTCAACACCAAAATAAAAGCCAGAGAAAATATTTTCAAGTGGGTGGCTCACATATCAATGGGAGAGAATGCTTGAGTCTTGCACACATTTTAAACAATGTAAACCTGGTAAATGTAATATAGACAATTGCAGATTTGTCCAATATCCTGTTGGTTGAAGTTTTCATTATGCTCGCTCTTTCTCTTTCTAAGCACCAACCTTTTTGTATACTCAGACAATGAAACGGTTTAGTGTGTATGTGTGTGTGTGTGTGTGTGTGTGTGTGTGTATTTTCACATGGGCACGCACATGTGTCCTATGTCATTTTACACTTTCTTCTTTTTTTTGTCAGTGATGGGAATTGTAGTGAACATTTACCATTCTAGCCTATGAATAAATAAACCAAACAGACAAATAAAACAATGATTTTACGTTTTTCTAAGCATGTCTTAAAATGTTTCAACAACTGTAAAATGTTCACATGCTTGGTTAGTGTACCTGAGTTAAATATTACACTATGTGTACATGTGTCAAAATGTCATATGATACCTCATGTATATGCATAGTCTGTATGGATTTACACTGAGATAAAATATTAGTCAGAATTATCATCAGATTGTAAATGACAAGAAATGTTGGTGGTTTGGCTTTGGGAAAAGGAATCCATTTACACACTGTTGGTTGGAGTATAAGGTAGTAAAACCGTCTTGAAATTCAGACTGGAAATTTCTACAGAAAATATAAATGCCATATAACCCAATTATGCTACTCTTAGGCATATACTCAAAGAACTCCATACAACTACAGAGATACTTGTGTATCAATCCAAGTTCATTGCAGCTCTACTCGCAATAGAATTTTATTCAGTTGTAGAGAAAAAAAATGCAAAAAAATGAATTTGCAGGTAAATAGATGGAACTGGAATAAAATAAACACAAATATTTTGAGTCAGGAATACTTTGTGTGAGGCATCTGGAATATATGATTACATTATGTATTCTAAAATATTATGTGGAAAATGTGCCCTGAAAGCTTTATTAGTATATTGCATCATCTTAAAATTTTGTAATGTAACTTGTTATTTCATCACTATAAATACCTAATGTTTTATGTGTTTGTATGTGTTTTTATTAATTAGCAATAATGGTTCTCTTGGGTATGTGACTAAAATTTTCCCCTAGGAAAACTCTTATGTGTTAAAATCAGAAAGTTTAAAATCAATCTATTGTTCTTGATATTAAAAAACAAATTGTTTTTCTGAAAATGCTAAACCTTTTCTGCATTTAATTTTACATAAAATTTTATAGTAGTCATAACACTAAATTTTCACAATTTGTATATTTCTTATTATTTTTTTTACAACTTCAGGGTTGAGGAGATAGTTATTAGCATTATTATAATTATGGTAACAATTTCTACTTGCATAGAAAATTTAGTTTAGGGATGCAGAGCCTGAGAGGTTACCCATGTTCCAGTAGACAGTCCTACATCCAATATACAAACAGGCAGTACTGGTTGGTTCGGTTGTTTTAAAAGGAGAATGCTTGAAATTGATGGAAATTGATGGAAAAGTGGCTGAGGGCGTAGTGAAGGAATTGGAAGTCAGGAGTTGGGGGAGTGGATTTGACCAAAATATATTATATGCATGTATTAAATTATCAAAAAATAAAAGTAACGAAAATAAAATGTGAGAAAAAAATGTCTGTGTACTAAAAGGCAGTCGTTCTTATTTCTTCTAATACTATTCTGTTCTTAAGGTATAATATAGCATGATCTTCATAGGAGGAATTTCTGTATTTTGCAGTTCTTTCCTTATTCATTTTTCAAATTAACATTAATTCTTTAAGGCAAATTTATAGTTTTTTTTCAAATGCTCAAAATGGTGAGACTATACATTCTTCTTCAGTTATCTCTTTCTTAAACCATACTTCTAAATAATCTGTTTTACACTTATATTTCTACTTAGATGACCTACTGAAATAGAGGTGAGATCACAGAGAGCTGAGAGCTGCATGGCTACCACCCAAGCTCTAGCTCTAGCGTCTCTTTCCTTCATTCTTAATGAGGATATTTAATCATATTATCTATGTCTTAAAAACTGTAAGCAATGCAATTATGAGAATATTATATTTACAATTCAGTCCTTTTTACAATAGTCAGCCTTGCATACCAGAATAAAATATTCTTTCTGCTTCCCAAACCCACTCATGTTCTTTGTAAATTTTCATACTGTAGGTCTCATTGATGATCCTGTTTCTTACTTTAATTGAGCAAAGCATTCAGTCAAAGACTCCTCTCTCTTTCCATCATCAAACATCCTGTCCACCTCAGTCTATAGACAGCTTATACTGGTTTTCCTCATTACAGCTGCCTATCAACTCCCAACCTCCACTAGCACCCTGGGTCCATGTCCACGGGTGTCCCCAAAATTTTGCTGGTGAACAGTCTTTTCTGCCTGAGACCCTTGTCTTCCATTGTGCTTTATGACCACGAACATACCTCATTATAGATGTTCCCTCACAACTTCATCTCATTGAGTTATTGCCAGCTTTGCTCAGTTACTGTACATAGAAAACCAATCACAAAATGAATTTTGTATTCACTGTCTCCCTTCTGGACAAACCTCATGGCACTGTTATTGCCATAGGTGTCATTATGTGCTGCATAGAACAGATCATTTCATATCGTCTGCCTTCAGCAATTCAGCAGCATCAACACTGTTGACCATTCTCTCTCCTTTCTTGAAGCCTTTTTCACCCTCAGGTTCCAGACACTACACACCATTGCTTTGCCTCGTCCTTCCCTTCATTCTATTAATTTTTTGGTTCTCTGTCTCTTTCTGGATGAAATTCAGCATACCAATAGAGACCTCTCTTTCTCACTCAGAAAGTTCTTCTAGAGTAATTTCCAGGTTTACAGGTTGCATACCATCTACAGAATAATAAAAGTTGATAATGTGCAAAAGTCAGGCTCTTTTATCTCACTACTCATGTTTAACATGAATTTCATTTTTATTCATTTTTTCAATGTATACTTTTATTGAATTTTTGTGCATTTCATATAAAAGTTCTTAATCATCTTTATACTGACTACCCATCCACACCCCACAGGCCCCCACACAGGATTTCATGTATGGTGTCATATATGTTAAGTCCTAGTGAGCCAAGTTTGTGTACCCAGATATCCTTCACTGCAAGTTCATCCACTGGAGTCTAGTCAACCTATCTAGAGTCTCCCCCTTAAAGAAGATCAGCTCTCCTTCACCCAGCAGTAACCAGCTGCCAATAGTTCTTCAGCTAACATTGGGACATGCTGCCCATTTCCCCAGTTTTATGTTGGGTTTTTGCCTGAGTCACTTTGCACGGGTCTTGTGCATGCTGACATGCATATTGTAAGTTCACATTAGGAAGTCCCCAGACTCCTGGAAGACTCGGTTTCCTTATAATCAAGCACCAACCCTAACTCTTACAATCATTCCTCCCCCTCTTCTGCAATGTTCCCTGATCCATGGGTGAGTGGCATTTAATAGGCCCTTATATTTACAGACTAGCATACCGTTCACCACTCATCAAAGAAGCTTCTTTTTGCAGCAGATGGAGACCATTACAGGGTTCCACAACTGGTCACACACAATAAGTGTCTGTGAGATGCTCAGCCCTTAAGTTTCCCATACACAATGGAACCTCTAACACCCAAGGCTCATGGAACATAGCAGATCAGAGAGAAGAGAGAATACTAATGCATCTCTCAACTCTCACCAGTGAAGCTTCCTCATAAAACAGTACGATGTACACAGAAGACCACAGCTGGCCAAATTTAACAAATGTTTTGAATTTCATATACTATATTTTAAATGTGTTCAGATCCTCTCCCCTATCTGCACCCTCTTACCCCATGCAATTTTACATATACATATATTATATATGTATATGTATGTATGTATGTATGTATGGCATATATAGTCAAATGTGTATCCCCAAATATTATAATATTCTTTGGTGTGGCTGCATCACTGGACCCTAGTTAATCTACAAAGAGTCACACCCATAAAAGTGACTATTCCTTCTAGCAACCATCTGTTGCCAATAGTTCCTAAGGCAGTATTTGGGTTTTTTCCCCACTTCCCTACTTCTGTGCTGGAATTTTGTCTGGCTTGAGCTTTCATGGGACTTCTGCATGTTGTCACCATTGCTGAGAGTTCGTATTGCTGAGAGTAGCTGCCCAGCTGTCTAGAAAACTCTTGTTTCCTTGTGCTCATCCACCACCTCAGGCTTTTACAATCCTTCCACAACCTCTTCTGCAATTATCCCTGAGCCTTGGGAGGCAGAAGTTTGATTTAGGTGTCCTATCCAAGGATAGGCACTCTGCAGTCTCTTGTTATCTGCACATTGGCTAGTTGTGGTTCTCTGGGTTAATCACCATCTGCTGCATAAGAAAGCTTCTCTGGTATTAATTGGTGGGTATAATAGTAAGTCATTAGGAATTAGATTCATATTTTATCAGAATGGTAGTATTAGGTTCTCCCCTATGACCTGTGACATGTCTAGCCATGTTACTAGGCCTGATATTAATGTCAGGTAGAGGCTCCTTATTATGATGTGGACCTTAAATTAGAATATGTCTGGTTACTCCCATAAATTTGGTGCCACTTTTGTACTGGTGGACATATCTTGCCAGACTAGATCTTGTAGCAGCTTGTAGGAGTCACATCAGGGTAAAGTTGACAATTGTTTTCTTCTTCCAGAAGCATTCACAGTAACTTCCAGCACTATAACACCCTGAATGTGGCCAATCACATGCAGATTCTCCCCTTCTCTGGTTCATCTCCATTACGCCCCCCATTTCATGTCCTCCATTACTATCTATCCTTTCTGGATAGCTTCAGTTATCAACTTGACGCTCTTGGGTAGGGGAACCTCAGCTGAGGAACTGTCTCCATTGTAATGGCCTGTGGCCATGTCTATGAGGCATTTTCTTGATTTTTGAGTGATGTGGGAGGGCCCAGCCAACTATGAGTAGAGCCACCCCCAGGCAGACAGTCCTGTGCTATATATGAAAGTAGGCTGAGCATGTGCCAGGAGAGCAAGCCAGTGAGCAACATTCTCCATGGTCTTTGTTTCAGCAATTTTCTCCAGGTTCCTGGCCTGAGTTCCTGGCCACTTTGGCTTCCCTCAGTGATGAACTATGAACTTGGAGATGTAAGACAACATTAACCCCTTCCTCCCCAAGTTAGTTTTGGTCAGTGTTTTTATCACATCCATTGAAAGCAAACTAAAGCAGCTATTAATTCCAATATATGCCTCCAATATACTCCTGGTATGGGTCCCTGCCCTGGAATCTGGTCAGCCTACAAGACATCACAACAATGAGGAAAACTGACTCTCCATTATTTAAAATTTTTATTTGTTTATGAGTGTTGTGCTTATATGTATAAAGTGTCACTATTTCCTCAGGCAGGTTTAGGGCTTCTTGCCCACCTTTCCCCACCACTATGCTGGGTTTTTATCTGGCTTGAGCTTGTGTCTATCGCGTGCTTGCTGTCAAAATTGCTGAGAGTTTACATGCACAACCTCCTTTCTGTTTGAAAACTATTTATATTCACTACTTCTCGTTCTAATAATCTGTCTATCCCCTCTTCCACAATGATCCTTGAGTCTCTGGTAGAGAGAGTGTGATACAGGTGACCCTTTCTGTGTTAATCTCCAGCACTCCAAGAAGCTTCTTGGGTGATAATTGAGAAATGCACTAACCTATGGGCATACCAGTAAGTCATTAGATGTTGATTTAATACTGTACTATTTAGCAAAGGAGTGGTAGTAGACTTTCTCCTATAGCCTGTGACCTGTCTAGCCATAGGTTTTTGGTACTGATAACAGTCTCAGGTATGGACTTCCATCTTGTGAAGCAGTCCTTAAATCCAATCAGAAAGTAGTTCATTCCTCTAATAACGTTAGTGCCAATATTGCACAAGTAGGCATATAATGCCACATATTCATGATTGTAGGTCACGTGGTTCACAGATGGGTAAGGCTGATGATTACTTTTCTCTTCTGGTACCATGCATAGTGCCTATCATAGTGCCTATGAAAGCTAGCCAATAGAGATGGCGATTCCAGGTCAGTACCAATTTGACTTCTTGTATTATGATGCACATATTTCAACAACAGGGTCTTACCAACAAGTTCTGGGTAACTAGGAGCAATAGCAATAACCAGCATTATTTGAGGGTCTACAGGACCCCCTTTTGAACAACTCCAATAGAGAAAGTTTATTCCTTACATTTTGCTTTTAAACATATTTTATCTACCCCGAAGGATATTTGGGGACACAAATATGACTCTTTATGTATAAATACACACACATACATAAAATATAGTACATGGAATTGGACATGGGTCTGGACACCCTTGGCCACTCCATGGCATTCATTCACAAACAGATGAAAAGCCTGAGTTATGTCAGGAAGCCCCAGTGCTGGGGCTGATATCAATGTCCCTTTATAAAGTTCCTTGAAAGCTTTTTTCTCCTTGTTTTCCCAACTGAGGGGACCATTTCCTCCCAAGTTCTGATATAATGGTTTTACTATTTCTTCTAGCCCGTCCTCCCCTACCTTCATGGCAGCTACCATTACTCAGGCCAGTCTCTTGTCTTTTTTCTCATTAAAGTCTCTATTATTAAAGGTCTTTTGGGTTATTTCTACTCACTGTGACCCATTCATTCCTTCAAACTATTGTAGTTTTTGTAACTCTTCAAATGACTGGAGCCAATTGGGTTACAAAGGCAATATTTATAGTCAGCTAGTTTTCTGGTTTTCTGGCACGTCAGGATCAGTAAGGGTGAATTCCCAGAGATGCTCCAGAAATTCTTCAGGGGACTCCTGACTTCCCTGAGTAATCTCAGATACATTTGAGAGGTTGGTTGTCTTCCTGGCCACTATTCTCAGTCCCGGCAGTAGGGTCTGATGATAGGTATCTACTGCCCCCTTACCTTGGTCCATGTTGGGGTCTCAATTTGGAAGGGTCAAGGGCAGACCTCACTTGACTTTTGCATTGGTATCCCCCCCTTGTGCCCCAGGACCAACTACAGCAAGGATTCGATCTCCTCCTCAACCTTGAGGAGAGTATCTAAGACTTGTTTGCAATCAGCCCATGTGGGGTTGGTGAATAAAGAAAACATTTTCTAGTAAGCTCATAAGGGCCTGGGACTTCTCAGAGAATGGGGGGGCGGGGGTGGGGTTCCGAGCTTTCCAGTTGTACAGGTCACTATTTCCTCCTGAGAGGGAGAACAGCAGGATGAGGAGCCTGGCTCAGTTTGAGTAGGGTGTAATCCACCAGACTTTCAGTGAGTGAGGGTGAGGGCATTGGTAGGGTATCGTATAGCCTGGATGATGGGGGTGCAGAAGAAGCAGAGGGGGCCTTCAGATACCATTGGTTCCTGATTTGGTTGGGTAAGGTAAGGTGGAGAGATGTCTTCCTCCTCTCCAGGAGTCAAAACTAAGGGTCTGGTCTTTGTAACTAGGGGCCTGGTTGTTAATACCAAGAAGCCCTGTTTTAGGGCACAACACTTCAAGTTAAGGAGGGAGAGTCAACGGTGGATACAAGGAAATGACTGGGATGACCAGGGTCCCCTGTAGCTACCTTCCAGACCTTCTGGGCAACTCAGGTGTTACAACAACCCAAAATCTGGCCATCCTAACCCAAAGGAGGGCGTTCCAGTTCACAGAAAATACAGGAGGTTTCCCTGTGACATCTTGACTCTGTAATACACCTTGTGGAATTCCCGAAAATGGCACAGCATGCAGCCTAGAGGGATTTTGGCTGTGCTCAGTCTGGCTCCCATGTCTGCAACAAAACCTACAAGCACACCAGAGGACACAGATCCACCAGACAAAAGCTAACAATAGGAAGAGACAAAATATCTACACAACGAAGACCATATAAACACAGACATACAGTGGTCACCTTCACCCACACATCTAAATCTTAACCAGGAAGACAGAGGACATCTTTTGCTGTCTAAGGAGACTGGGTTACAATTGTGTCTAATCTACCTGAAAAGTTTCCCCAAATGTCTGGAGCCCAGAACACTCACCTATCGGTCCTGCCCTTGGCGCATGGCTGCCAGTTATTTCCTTACTTGTTGTTGTTGTTGTTGTTTTTCTTTTTAATTTTTGGTGGTCATGGTCTCTGGCTCCCTCAAGCCTCTGAGCTCACAAATGGCCTCACTTCCATATCTGGTCTTACCTGGAGTCTGGAGGTCCACCTGAATCTCACTGGGGCAAGCCTCCAAATGTTACAGAGTTTGTGACCACTGGAAAGACCACTCAGACTCGATTAGAATCCATTTAGCCAAATTATTTTTTAGGCTTGCCAGCCAACAACAGCTCTAGCTGGGGAGGAAAGACTGCAGCAACTGGCAGGGAGACAGACAAGGCTTTTAAAAGCAAAAACCACAAAACATCATGGGGTGTCTTAGATAAACATGTCATGGGGTAGTCATGGGGTTCGTTGTAAGTCATGGGCCATCTTAGATAAACAATTCAGTTTCTGCTTAGGCAAGCAAGCAAAGATACAGAATCACAAGATAAGCAATTACAGTAAGTGAGTGTCATCAGCTATTTCTTGGGACCCTGAGGAAGAAGGGAAAGGAATTCACTTGAACTAGACTTAGTCTTGGGCCAAGCCTGCCTGGCTCCAAGGATATAAGATGGAATTGTTTTAGCCACACTGTCACACCAGCATATTTAGTTCATATTCTTTTTCTATGACTAAGAAGAATTATGAGTTCTGAATCAGTGGAGATATAGAAGCCAAATCAGAAATCCCAAACTAGCAAAGGTATAGCAGTACCTTCAAACTGATCCCACATGCTTACTTGCAGTGTAAGGACCAGTGCTGTAATGAGTACTACTCAAACCGTGGTCTGAGGCCTGAGACCATTCCTGCCACAAACATTTGTCATGGGAATGCAAGAATTCTTAAAACAGGGCATTTATTCCCTTTGTCTATTTTTCACTTTCAATGTAATTTTGATGAAAAAAATGTATGCTTGATAAAAGAATGATTTCAAAAACAAGAAATTTTAAAAAGAATTAATTGGTCCTACTCTGGAAGGAATGTGATAAATGTGTTACATATAATAGAACTATTCCTAAATAGGCTATAACCTTTTGACCATTCAAAGCTTACATGTTCTTCTTGGTTTTTTTTCCGGGGGGGGGACTCATGTCTAAGAAATCATTGCCAAAATTGAAAGCATAATTCATTAGAAGGTAAAAGAAGGAGTAAATGAATCTCATTAAACTACAAAATTATTATACACCAAGAAAAACCAATTGTAGACTGAAGAGATTTGGACTTAGTGGGAACCTCTCTTGGGTGTCACTATTGCCGGGGAGATGTGAACAAGTGTCTATCCACCCCAGATAGGGAGCCAATGAGCAAACACAATATGGAAACAAATTAAGTCCAAATTGACAAACCAATGAGTTTTATTGGGCTTAATCCTAGGAGTATGGGTGAGAGGTTACTTACAGGATTACAAATGACTCAAAGGCAACCTCATCACCAAAACCTCACCACAGCATGGGTGACAGCTCACAAAAGGTGGAAACCTGCAGCACAGTGAACGACTTGCAAGCAAATCAACAGGTTTAAAAGTGTCTTTTCCAAGTAGCTCAGTTTGTCTGAGCCTCTTAACTGGTAGCTAAGATGGTCTTGGCCTGCTCAGGTAGCTTGACTTGTCCCCGAGAGTCTCTCAGCAGCCTTACTGTTTCTCTATACTTCAGGGGGGTGGTGAGGGACCTAGTGTAACTTGTCAATTTCATGTCCTTCCTGAAGCCTTTACTTCATGCTGTTAAGATTTACTGCAGAATGGAACATTTCACTTCGTTTTAAAACTTCCATGATGGAAGTTAGCTCAGAGGAAATTTCTGTCCAACAGCCACCACTTTCAAACCATATGTGTGTGGAATTTACTAAAACAACAAATCCATGCCCACAGGTTTGACAAGTCACTTTCAGTGTTGTATGGACAATGACAGATATGAGGACATACATAGGAATAAGAAAAACTGTTGGTCAGATCAAGATGTAGCCTGGGTCTGATATGTATCAGAGTAACATGTGAAAAGAGATGCAGAGATAGTAAGACCTATGAGCAGGTTACATGTATGAGATAGGAGAGAGGACAGGAATGCCCTTGCCAATCTCAGCCTGATAAAAATCTGTGCATTATATACTACAGACTCAAAAGGGAGCTGTGTGTGAAAATAAGGAGTTGTACTTTGGACTTCATGAGTGCCTAGGTTGTGTTCCACCTGGTTGTCATTATAATTCTATGCCTCAGCAGCTATAGTAAAGATTTCATTGAAATGGTCAGGGCATCTTTTTCTGCAGCAGTTCCTCTAGTGTGATGCTCCTGAAGCAGCAAAAGAAAAAATATTTTAATTAAAGAAAGTTAAGACAGGGGCTGGGGTCCTCAGGTCTTCTCATTTGGGAAGTTATGTCCAGAAGATGGATAATCCGCAGTCCTCTCCTATCCACATGCTCTGAATCCACAGGCTCACCAACCGTGAATTGAAATTAGATTTTAATTGTTTCTGTGCTGAACATGTGGAAACTGTTGTAGGTATTAGTAAATTATCATTAGAAGATTTTAAATAGGAAAGATTATATGTGTAGATTATATGTAAACATGTTAATCAAGGATTTTAATATCTGCAGAGGTCCTGCAACTAATGCCCTTAGATAATGAGGGAAGAATAAAATTCTATCCATTGCATTTTATGCTATCATTATAGTAAACATTCAACTTGAATGATTCAGAAACTTTCAGATCTCAAATGTCCATAGGGCATGTTGATGCCAATCAATCTAGTATAGTACCTGACATCAGATGAGATGCATGTGCCTGTGTTATAGATTATTTTTAAGTGCCTCTGGGAACTCCTGTTGAAGAATGTTTTTTCAAAAGTAAAAGCTCTGAGTGCTCCAGAGAATGTTCTGATTATAGCACTTAGGACATTGTGTTTAAAAACTCCCTTGAGGAAGCTCTTCCAGGTTTTAGTAGATTTGGGTCTCAGTCCCTGCTTAAACAGAAATCCTTGAGTTAAGTAAGAGCAAGACTCAGTACCCAGACAATGCACAAGCCTCAGCGTATTTGGGAAACAGCCATGGATGTTGCCTGATATAGTGAAGACTCGAAGGCTGCAGAAGCCTTACCTTCCTTTATTTCTCACTCATCTCAGCCCTTGGCTCACTGTCGTGTGTTTATGCTTGCCAGTGTTCCAGGTGGGTGTGGGGAAAATTCTGCAGAGAATTACTCCTTTCGAGGTATCTGAATCTTGATTCTCTACACAGATGAGACTTTTGCCCTTGCTCTCTGTCCCTCTCTATTTGCCTGTGTCTTCAACAAAGAATAGGTGCTCTTCACGAATCTTGATCTGAATTATCCCTGAATATAGTTAAGTGCTTGACCAAAGGTACCTGAGTGGCTGCGAGGACATTCATACCTCTCCTTGGCTCTGAAAGCTAGGAGCCTGTGCTCTCCTCTCACCTTTCTACCTGAGTGCATGCTCTTCTGGATTTCCATCCTCATCCCCTTTTTATTTGAGTTTGGGCATTGGGAGCAAGCAGGGATAAGAAAGAACCTGAGCCTTCTTTCTTAGAGAGAAGCAAGACAGGGAGAGCAGGCTTCCTTGAATGAGTATAGAAGGCTGTATGTGTCTGCTGATATCCATGCACAGGCTGAAGCCTTGGCCTTGTCCTTAAGCAAACTACACTCTCATTTAACCCTGAAATATTACTAACAGTGAGTGCATAAGCTCCTTTTAACCTGGGCCTTTCCACCTCCCTAATCAAAGACCAATGTTTCAGTGTGTCTAGTAGCCCCTTTGCTCAAGCACAGCTCTCTTGGAATGGATGTGTTAATGTTGGAGTGTCAGCATTAGCTTTAATTCATTCAGCTAACAGTTTGAATCCCTGGAATGTGTCTAAAGATTCTGATCTTTAAATGGAAGAAATAATGTTTCAACATCTTAGGGTTATATATGTACATATATCTATATATAATACATGGACACATTCTAGATCCTTTTGGAGTGTTTGCTCTGTGATATACATTTTCTTACACTACATAACCAATAACTCTACTGAAACTTATTTGATAATGTGAATTTTCTAGCTTATCAAAGATACTAATTTTAGCATTAATCTAATTCTTATGCAGCCTCTTCTGACTCTGATTTCTAATCTGACCCATGGCATCTCTGTGTTTACAGCACTCTAACCTTATTTTTATTTTGTCTGTCTATATTGTCTGAATTATAATTCCTTAATTTTAAAAAATATTTATGAATTTAAATATATTTATTTCTCTCTTTTACTTAGAATATGTAGGTTAATTGTAAGTTAAATCATATAATCCACATAGGCATAAGAAACTAGAAATTCCTCAGTTACTTTCCCTATTTCCTCTAGAATCCAGTTCCCTACTACTATTAACAGGCTGTTTTCTATAGACTGACTAGCCAAGCATATACAAATTATTTTACCGTGGCATGATAGTAGTTTTCTAAAGGTCTTTAATATGTTTATCTTATCTTTTTTTTAACTTTAAGAGAAAGCTAAATAATAACTTGAGGCTTATATAACAGTGTTAATGACTCGAATTGCAATAATAAAGGTATCTTTAATTATACTGTTGTTATTAAAGTCAAGCTACTAAATGATAAACTTATCAAAATTCATAAATAGGTTAGAATATTATTAAAATGTACTTATAATATTGTGTTTTTAGTCTCTGTTCTTTGTATATTTAAAACATTTCATAGTAAAACAAACCAGAAACCCTTGGTTAATTCTAACTAAAACTTCCCTTTGTGTTCCTTACATGTACATTGAAGCCTTTAATTATCCAGTTTTGTATTTAGCCATGATTTCAGATTTGGCTATGACACAGCTCCAATCCCAAAGGATGAACAAAGAACCAAAGAATGCAAAGAGCAAAGTATGCTCTCCATCTGCTGTTATCTAACTTTGCAGTAGCAGTGAGATCTAGATCACAATCCTTTCATCATCATCATCACCATCATCATCATCATTTATTGGTGTTT